GCAGTACGACTTACATGCTGTCGTTTACATTTACATCTCGATGTTTGACAATCCAGTATGAAACCATATCTATCGATGTATTGACACATGAAGTTCGATGGATGTCTAGTCACCTCGTTTCGGTGTAATTATTATGTGTTGACGTTGAATCGTCGATAAATAATCATTCCAAACGACTGTTAAATTTAAAATCGTTTTTCATGGTAAAAGTTTCGAAAACAAGTCCTAATTAAATTTCATAAATCGCCACTTCGAACACTTATACAATATAACACGAAACCAACGCAGTTGTGGCAGTCAAATCAATATTATAGACAAGTATCTTCATGTACTAAAAACAAGGAGCATCGAATTATTATCAAAATAATATATAATCATTTCCTCAGAAATTGAGACGAACATTTAGCTATTAGATAAAAAATAACTTATTTTGAATCAATTTTAACCAATAATAATATGAAAAGGAAGCCCACAAAATTCAGATTGATCCGAAAATAAATAAAAATATTTATTTTAAAATACTATTTAAGTTAAATGTAAAATTTACATTGACTACGAGTGCGTTGGATATACAAATTGTTTGTACATTGTAATATAATGATCGGTCATAGTATACAATTATAACTAACCAATTACTTTACCCTAAACGGATTGGCATTGTAAAAAATGCTCGGGCACTGTGCCCAGTGCCTGATTACTCAACTTTGCCCGTAACGTATATGTAAAATATATATTTATATATCTTTCAGATCGAATGATGTGTATAAATGTTTTTCTTAAACGCAAGAAGAAGATAAAAAATAAATAACGCAAACGCTGAAATATTAAAAAACAAAAATATAAATAAAAATATTTTAAGGATTTCCCGGACAATATCGTGATTTATTTAGTAAACGAATTGATCGTTTACGGGGAAAAAAATTAATTCCCCCTACTCATTCTACTTGAACATCAATGATTTGAAATAAATTTCCATTTACGCGTTAATTTTGATTTTATTTTCTCTTTTTTCTCTATCACCCTTTGGAACAACGTTGTACTACAACTGATAAATGAACGGACGGAAAAATAAAAACTTCAAAACGATTTGTGTTTTCCGTTATGAGAATCGCGAGGAAAATTACGTGATGGACAACATTCAAGCGGATCAATAAATAAACGTTTTAGCGAAACGAGATCCGGCACGGGTCCGATTCTCTTCAAATAATAATAACGGGCAGTTTTACTATTCGCGATGCGTATTACCGCAGTAGTTCTGCAGTGTAGTCGGGCTGGAAAATAAACCGCACCATTATACGCGGATTTCATACATGTTCGTAATAAACGTTGTTTTATACGTGTAGGTACACGTGTTGCGATTAATGCGGAAGTTTATTATACGTAGAACTTTACTATAAACTCAAAGTATTAATGTTATTATTATTTATTTATTTATTTTTTTATTGTAATCATGAACATACTTTTACTTTATGTTCTACGTCGGTCAATGTTATGTCGTTAAACCATCAATCATAAACATAGGAATATTATTTATTCGTGACTAGAAGTGTAATCGATTTAAGTGGTATTTTTTAATTTTTTTTTTTTTTTTTTTACTTATAAAATCGAAAACTTTAATTTATTCTTAATGATTAAATATTAATCGTTGCTGTTAGTATTAATGACTACGCAATACAAGTAATTATAAACACTGGCCACGTTCACGGGTTAGGTTCATACTTACCATATTATAACGTTCGCGTAACATTGTGTAGTATGTACCTGTATCGTATATATCGCGTTTCCAATGTGTTGCTGAACAAATATTACCGAGAGCGTGTTACGTGACTCGAAAAAATCGAACACCGAATCCACACCAAAGATGATTTCAAAGTGCCGTCCGATGGTATTTTTGGTACAAAAGCTGTGTTCTGCGGCACAGAATCGTAGCGATTGTAGTCTATGCGGACGTATCGACCACGTGCAAACGACAAATAATATGAGATTTGATTTTATATCCGTTTACCGTGTAATATATTACACATACTACCAGTGGTGGATTCACTTGGGGGTTTCGGGGGTTAAAATCCCCCCCCCAAAATCAGGAAAAAAATATATTATAAATCAATGTTTTATGAATTGAGAAAAAGATTTTTTTTTTTTTTTAAAAGTTTGTAGGAAAGTATAAAATTTGTATTTTTATTTATACAAGAAAATAGTAGTCATAGATTTAAATTAACTTATTATATTACTTACTATTATCTTAATTCGTTATCAATCACTGACTGCAATATTACAAAAAATATCCCAAGTGAAAACATTTCACAAAATTACCCCCTCCCAAAAAAAAAAAAAAAAGAAGAAAATCGTGGATCCGCCACTGCGTACTGCCGACGGCCGTGCGTCGAAATCAATTTCGGACGTATACGATGACAAAACGTATAATAGAATTAACCCAAACCGTCCGATGAATTATCACTTCTTCTTACGTTTTTATACATACACACACATACGCATTATGATTATTGTGTCGTATACAGTATCCAAGACCTTGTTCTGACCACATAATTACACTAGAGTTATTGACCGTAACATCTTTTATATACAACAACAACAACAACAACAACAATAATACGCGTGTGCGTTCGTATACAAGTACGATAAATATATGCGCAGTTCGTTTCGAATACGGTAACTCGGGAATTCGAATAATGGACGAATAATGACGATAAAATATCGTTTTCTCCGTCGATTCGAAATACTCTTAATATTCACCGTACGTGGATAGTTAGTGCGTGCGCGTGTACGCTTTTCGTTGCGTCCGTCAAGCCGGCCATTTTCGATGGGATCGGTCGAACAGTCGGTGGATAAGATTCGGCCGACAACAATGGCCGTTGTAACGCGCGGTGTACCCGAGTCGGTTACCGCGAGTTGTAGAAAACGAATAAGAAAAAATCGAAACGTCGTTGTATTATTATTGTTACTCGTGTATGCCGTACAGTGTAGAGAACATAGTCCGGGAATCAAAGATGTTGATTAGGAGAAACGGTGTGGGAGAGGGTGTAGTGGGGATGAACGGGAACCACGTGACGCGGGGGAGGGGACTGACAGAAGTTTTAACGAGAAGAATAATGATTAATGACGTGTACGGAATACAAAAAAAAATATATATATATAACAATGACGGGTAATAATATAAATAATCATTTTATACGTTTGTGGGGGAAGGCAGCGCGTCGTACCCGAAGAACATATTCGGTGTGCGCGTGCGCGCGCTCGTGTACGAATGCTTCTTAGATAATAACACGTACGTACGTAATATTATTATTACGGTCGCGGTGAAATCGCTTTACGTCCGGGGGTCGAACGTTCCCAGCGGATGGATTCGTATCGAAAACCGTATACCGGTGCCTGGGATTCGCCGAAATGAATATTATACAATCAGTGGTCGCCAACCGGTGGTCCGCGAGAAAATTTAGATGGTCCGCAGAAAAATGTAAACGTTACTTACAGAATCCTTTTTTGTCGTCATTTCCCCAAAAAATAAAACCCTAGACATGGTATTATGCGGATAATAGATCCATTTGCAGTGAACAATTAAAATAACAAGTTAAATATGACCGAAAAAAATTTTACCTCGTCGATTTATTTAACGGTACTTATGTAAAAAGCTATTTTAAGCTGAAAGTGTTCCGTAGAATTTAGAGTATGTACTTAGTGATCCGTGAGGTCCAAGAGGTTGGCGACCGCTGCTACATATCACCGTGAGAGACCGTATTGCATTGTTCTCGGTCACACGACGGCCGTCGAATAGATATTATTATTTTATTGCGCTCGCTCCGTTCTCGTTATTTTTTTCAGAACCCCCAAACGGTTTTTTTTTTTTTACCGATCGAGATTCGATCGCATACAGGCGTAATAAATATAACGCGTTAAATATCGACGACGATCAGACGAAATGCAAAAAAAAAAATAAATAAATAGTCTGTAAGATAATGGTGTCGGAAGTTCGTCCTCCGATTGGATAACGGCAATGGGTGTATAGAGTTTTAAATAAATGGTAACTCATTTCTTTAGTCAAAAGATTATGAGCAAAGCTTCGGTTTAAAAAAATATACCGTTCATATATTTTACCGTTTTTAGTCTGGTTGTCGGTAGGTTCTTTTTTTTTCATCGATCTGTTTAAAATGTTCTAGTTCGACAGATGTGACATATTTTTTAACCAAAAATATGTTGTTCTGTACAAAGCTTCGTTATTATTTGATAGACTAATTTTTATTAATAATGTTTTTAAAATATAGTTTTTCTATGTTATTTTATAGAAAAGTTATTACAAAAAAAAATGGTCAACATTTTAAAACCATAAGATCCTTTACTCAGAATCATTTAAAAAATATTAACAACAAAATAGAAGAATCCATGGATTTATGGTCACTGAAGAAAAAGTTGATGGAATAGCTATGCGTAATAATGTCCAATATTTCCGACACCAGATGAATGTTCTTTTCGCGTTCATTACCCTTGTGCACTTTAATCCATCGCTTCATAATAAAATGTGAAGTTCGTGTTGTATCGGTTTGATCATTAAACGGTGCATGATCAATTTACGTACGTGGTTTTTAATTTAAAACATCCGAAGCTTCATAGTCCAACGTATCCGCATACGTATAATATCTTGTATATAAAAAAAAAAACTTACGTCGGTTGCCGCGAGCAAAATATACATCAGAAGTAATAGTATCTCTGAGCTCGATTAACCACAATTGTTATTGTTCGATCACTCGAATTTGAGTGTTCGTCCGAATATCTGGATTACCGTAAATACCTACGCAGATATTCCGTCAGCTTATCATGGTTATTTATATGTTCAGCAAAACGCGTTAACGCGGTGCTAACTTCTGATCGCCTGAACTTGAGATATAATACACTACTAATTGTTGTATGTATTCTGCTGCACGCAAGAATAATCATCGAGGAAACGTTCCTTAAGGATAGGATCAATACAAATGAACAACATGCAATTGACGTTTCGCAATAAGGAAACAATAATTTATTAGCACATTCACCGTGTGCACATATTTTTACTACGGTGATAATATAAACAATAAATGTGTTATATTGAAGGTGCACGGAAACGGAGCGTAGTGCGATTAAGTATTTTATAAAAATACAAGTTCGGTAACACATTGATAATAATGCATAATACATAGTAAACAGTTCGTGGGTTCGTGTAGTAGGTACTGAAATGTCCGGATCGTTTTCATTTGCCGATCGCTCTGATGATCTTCTTGAGATCCCGTTCTATCCATTTCGAATTCGATTCAATTCTCTCGTGTATTTGGTCGAACGCGGATTTGAGACGGGTCGACCGAGCAGCTGCTCTTATCTCGTTCATCTACACAATAACAGGACAAACGGAATCGTAACGCGTCCACGTTTATGTTCGGAGAACGAACAGAGACCGAACAGAGAACAGTACGTTGTTTACAACCAGTGGCGTGGTGATGTGGGTAATCGAGAGGCGGCCACCTCTTAGTTTTTGGGAGGTAGGTCAGAGGCGTATTAAGACTTACTTCTAGAGGGGACGACGACTCAAATTTCTTGTTTAATTCAGACTCAAAATTTACAAGTAAAATTGTTAAAATTGTTAATTGTAATATTTAAATCAGGTGATACCTTAATGTTTGTGGTTTTTTTTTTTTTTTATCTAAGGCTGGATTCACTTAGAATTGACTTTTGTGTAGTTCTTTTTTAACACCTGTTTGTGTTTTGAAAATTACGATTGTGTTTTATTTGATTTTTCACCAAGTATGGACCCGTCAAAAAACTAAATTCAGTATTCAAAGCCACGCATAATTTGATTTCGTTGTAAAAAGATCCATATTAAAAAAATTTCTTATGTGTATCTCACATATAATCGATTCTCTGAATACGGATTTCAGGAGGGGTGATCACCTCATTCGCCTCCCTACCCCTTTGAATACGCCCCTGGGGTGGATGGGTTTCAACAAAATTTACTTGCCTCTGAAATTTTTCGAGTTCACCACGCCACTGTTTACATTATCTGAACGTTACTTACCGTCCGTATTTCGTCGTCCATCGCCACTTTCGACGCCAACACGGAGTACGCGAACGTGGCCAACCGGTGACCGTCGTCCAGCGCCAGGATCACGTCGAGCTCACGCAACAGGAAATCGGCCAGTGCCCGGACGCCCTGGGAAGTGGTGGCGACATTTTCGAAAACGGTCCTGAAGTTATTCGTGCCTGCCGGACCCGTGCCATCCAATCGCAGTAGCCGTAGACGTCTGGAACAATGCGCGAACGAAAGGACGGTGTATTACACCTGCAATTGTGATTTGCATATCGGTTGTGGCCGACGATATCCTTAGACGCGCGATATCATGACCTACCTGGGGGGAGGGGTTGTGTTTAAGATTTCACCTCCCAATTGTGAAAATATTCCCTTATTACCATTAGCATAAAATCGAAAATAAGTGTCTCCCAGCTATTCGTTAAAAACCAAGTTCGCAATTCATTTTCCCCATTTCAGTACAATACAACACAATTCTTGTAATTAATATTAAATCCAAAATAATAACCGAGTTATGATTATATAAATAAATTTATAGAAATTTGTCTTTCATAAGATTGATGGTGTACCATAAAACAATTTAGTACCTTTCGATCTGAATATCCCGTCCCCATACAAATCAAGATTAAACCAATACCTATATCTCAATAAAATACCATGTCAAGTAAAATATTCTTAAATTTGTATACATTTGGTATGGTACTGAAAAATATGAATGATAATTTTATAATATGAAATTTATTTTTCATATAATTTCATTTATTCATGAATAATTTTCCGTTAAGAATGGGAAAAAATCGATTTTATTTCGTTTAGAATCACCATAAAAATATTGCCACCTCCTTAAATTTTCAGAGAGGGTTATAGCCTCCTCGAACCACCTTTTAAATACGACTCTGTAATATACCGTCGATTTGATAGTGTTTTGTTATTGATACGTATGTATAGCAGGTAAGTATAGTATTTTTTTCGAATAATTGCCGTTAATATTAATAAACGTACTTGAACAGCGTTTCAACGTCTTCCGCGCAGGCCAAAGCTCTCAGAGCGATTTTCTTGCGCGACGGCGAGCGCACGGCCGTATAGAACTTGTACATTTTCGACCAAACCGTGAAATCGCCTTTTTTCATGCCCTCGCAGAAAGCAGCTTCTTCCGTTTCCGGCGGGATACTGGGCGGGAACATAAAAAAAAAAACCACATGGTTAAATACTAATAAAACACGCGTACGGGTTATTATAACAATTAAATTATTAAAAAGTCAATGCATAACGTTTGTGTACACGTACGCGCTATGAACGTACACGGGTACTTTACATAATTAATATGCAATGGAAACATGCACGAGTGCGGGGCGCAGATATATCATGGTATTTGTAAAATTGCTTCGAGTGGCCGGTAAAAATTCGATATTATTTTTTCTTTTTTCAATAATACGATTCGAATTTCAATTACTGCGTAACGATAAATCATTCCACAAAAAGGGTACCTTACAAAGCGTATGATGTTATCCGAACAAGAGCTGCGTACAATATTATTTTGGTGCTGTTATTGAAATGCAGTATGGTAAAACGTTAGTCGGCTCCGGGAACGATAATAATTCGAGTCCCAATAGAAGAAGGGGAGGGGGTTTAAACGACATTTTGACAATATTGCTCAGAATCACAAAAAACCGTCTTAGAAACGTAATATATAACGAATGTTAATGATTGGTTTATAACTACTAGTTTTGAAGCTGACGCCACTCTGTCATTCACTGCACTCAACTATGTCACTTGTACCATTCGCGCTGCCAACAAATTTAACTAATGGTGCTTTCGCCGAGACTTTCAAAAAGAAAATTAGCCATTTCTATTTTATAAGTCGCTTACACCTTTTTATTGCTGATGAAACTATTTATTTTTTTTACATCATATCATATATAACGTATTTAATTCATGTATCTTATCAAATACTAACTGCAGTTTTGTTACGGTAAATCAACGTAAAAAACATTAAAATACGAGTGTAATACTATATACCATCGTATAATACTGTTATCTCTGAATTAATACGTACACGTTGAGGTGTGTACCAATTGCTTTGTTTGAGAGATAATAATAATAAAAAAAGAAAGAGTTAAAATCTCGTTGAAATTTAGGTTAACTTGAATAGTAAGTTATGTAGTGTACAGATATACACTACGTAATACATAATTTGGTCGTTATCAGATTACAGAATGTCAATATTAAAAACAACATAACCACTCGACTGTAAATTTACTGAACACACAACAACTACATAGTGTTTCGATTTCGTATTATAATACAAGAGTATTGAATTCGATGAAATTTCCGTTTCGAAAATTGTCATTGTTAATATACTAAAAACATATTGAAGAACGCTATTGTTTGTAATTATTTCTATACCCATCCAGAAGCCGACGTAAATCTTATCTAACCGGCTGTTTGTCCACGATTAACTCAAAAGCATAATAAATATTTTTATGATAAGCAATATAGGCGTTCATATTGTTATAAGCAACGTTCATGAATAATATGCAGTACTGAAATACCTAAGCCTTCAATATATGTATGTCGAATTCGATGGAAACTTCAAGAAACCACTAGACGCATGGAAGTTTCCGACTTTGGGAAATATGTACATTGAAACCAAATACTGATGTCGTTTATAAAAATTTCAACATTTTTTGAATAATTCAATTGAATCGTTTATGTTCAACTGTCAAATAACTATGAGGAAATATTAAATATTAAACTACGGGGGCAAATTTGAAGAACACTTAGAATTAAAGATTTTCTTTTTAAACAACATTTTTTTACACAAATTATTTAATGGAATATCTTGCTCTTCGCTTGAATCACTTTTCTTTTACCGCCTACCATAATACTACACCCGACCTCGTACAACATTTCATGTAGAAACTCATCGCACTAATTATAGTCAATATATTCCACTAGATCGGCTATTTCTTTAAGGTAATTTCGACAATATAATTTTTTTTACGATAGACCTACCTAAAGCCATCATCACTGCTAACCATGGATATTTAGCACCTGTTGTAGTTTTTTATTGCTACAATCTTATAACCCATTTTTTTTTTCTCGTAACATATTAAGATGTTATCATAAATTCGTACTTACAATGAACAACTTTTTAAATACCTGTACTTGTGTTAAACAGGCGTGTCAATAAATCAATAAAATAAATCGCGGTATTATCATTGTTAACACTGCAGATCCCGTACGGATTATTGTTCGTATGCCTAAGATCGCATCACCGTTTTGTGTACTAACCCGTGTCCGTCGGCCCACGCGTCAAAGTGTTTCAACGCTGACGTTCGACACCGCGAGTTGCCCAGTTTGCACGTCCACGCTAACAATCTGCTCCTGCCGATTTTCGTCGACTCGTCGCCCATCTTGTTGGCGGCCAATTTGTCGTACAGAATCTCCGCCAAGCCGTTCGCGTATTCCTGCGGCCGACAACACGTTTCGGCGTAACGAAAACGTAGCGCGTAAAGGTCTCCACACACTGCCGCGGTGGCGTTAAATTTGTACACACGTATTGTAATGGGAGTCCGCACACTGCTGCGGTAATTCGACCGTGGTAAAATATCGCCGCTTCGATATTTTAAAAACCGCAGCATGCTCGATTTCACCGCCACCGCTCAGCGGTATTTTCAATTGACTTATCAAATGTACGCTAATAGTACCTATTACTATCTAATATATATGGTGTATATTAGTCTATACTTCGATTATTTCCTAGAAACTATTCAAGTTATAGTTTAATATACTATTTAACTTAATTAAAAATAATTCATATAAAAATAATCGAAATAATATTATATATATATATATATATATATATAATGAATATGATATGTACAATAGTATAAGTACTTAATGTAGTACCTACTGACGTACTATATAGATAAATCGTCAATTTATCAATGACATAGGAATTAATTAATTAACTATACAATTATTGTATGTAATATCATTGATTATAAATATTTATAATCAATGGTAATATATAAATATATTATGTTTGTACTGGATAATAATCGCCACCGCCACCGCGGCAGTGTGTGGGGACCTTTACACTGTTTCCGCGGTAAAATCGTCGCTCGCGGCCGTTATATCCGCCATCGAGGCCACCGTTTTCGACTTACCTCGAACTTTCGATGTTCCGCCGGGTAACGCCGGAGCCCGTCCAGGGTCGACGATAACCCGTTCACCGCGGTGTTCCAAGGCACCACGTGGTCTTCCATCAGCAGGTACTCGAGCAACGATATGTAATAGTCGTACGGTACCACGTTAGCCATGGACAGGTGATACGCGTCGTCCACGATTTGGGCTCGGTTCAGCACGTGAATCCGGTCGGGTTCGGTGATCAACTGGATCAACAGGAGCTTCCAATTCTTTTGGTCGTAGTTCACGCGGTAGAAACCTATTGGTATCGGCATAAGAGAGTTATGGACAAAAAAAAACATTTACGGGTTATCGTCTAACGGTCTATCGATCTGGGGAGAAACGAGCGGTCATCGGTGAGTAAGCGTTGTTTTTCAAAATTGTGAGCTGGGAACGGAAATGAAAATTTAACTTAGTAAACTGTCGATTGAGAAAAATAAGGTTTTTCGAAAAGGAGCAAAATAATATGTTAACAGTTTTATTTTAAATCTAAATTGATCGTGTATGGAGGGGGGGGGTGAGATTTTCAAAAACGTGCTAGGGGATCGCGGAATAAAAGAGGTCAATGGATATTCGATCCATATATTCTCATCCTCTCCCTCTTTCTTTATCTTTCCTTTAATACACACTTGTTACCTGTGGACTGGATGTTAAATATCGTCCATCCTGAATCGACGGCCATAGGTACGATTGTTTGTTCGTCCTCGGGCTTCAACCAGACGGTCGGTGTCACCTGGTCGAAATCTCCGGTCCGCTCCGTGGTATACGTGAGGCCGACAAACCATTTCGTGCCGTTCGTTTGGCGCGGGACCGACAAAGAAAAGTGTTCCTGAAACCGCATAAAAATCGTACGGGTTTTATCCGCGAGCCGTCAGTCGGCAGTAAACACATTAAAGTGATTGTGGCTTTCACACGGGTCGCGATACAGCCCTGTCGACCACTGAAAAGACGAACACGGATATTGACACAGAAACGTCAATCTCCGCTGCGGAACGCAAACACCTATTCTACGGGACGGAAATCTTTTTCGATCCGTGTCGGATGTCAACTCCGAGCATTTGAACCGATCGTGGACGAGAACCGACGGAAAACAACGCGCGTGGAAACAAAAATTGCCGTAGAAAACGCAGTGCCGCGTTAAGCTATGTAGCCGCCCCGGGGCGAATTAAAACATGCTGTCCTTAAAAAAATTACAATTCAAAATAAAAAATAATTTATGTAATAGAAATAACATGTACGTATTATAGTTATGCAGTCATGCAAGAAAAATTATAATTATATTTATTTTTATTTTATATTGATCCTCAAAAATTTGTCGCCCCATCGAACATCATAAAATTTGCCACCCCGGGGTCATTGCCTCCCGTTAAACGTGGCTCGGGGCAAACGTCGTTAGTACCTGCGTCACGATGACCGCACCGGAACCGTCCGCCGCCGGCTGGACGTCGATCAGCGGGTAGCCGGCCTGCTCCGTCCACGTGCGCATGTACGCCTCAACCGTGACGTTGCCGCCTCCGATTTCCACGTCGTCGTCGTACAGCATGTTGTCGAACGCGCTCCACAGATCTCTGGGAAGGGCCTCCGCGTACCTGCGGCGTAGAACATGCGTTTAACGCGTAGTGGCAGTTTTGTTTGGATTTTATCGTTTTTTTTTCCCACTGCGTCGCGGTGCACGAACTTCTAACCGCGTGTACCGCGATATTTCGACCCTATCGACCTTCGGTGCTTGACTTACAAGGGGACGCGGCGGATGCCATGCACCGGGGCCTCGATAAGGGACCTCTACAACCGAAATCTAAAACGATCCGACCCGTTTTTAATTTTACCTTTTAATCAAGGCACCTACTTACGTTTAATTTTTCTTTTTTTCGGTCGTTTAATATATCAACATGCAAATATTTAAGTATTATGTTGAACTCGTTTTTTTTTTTTTTTTACTGACCTTCAATCGGTATTTGCAACCCAGAGACTTTGATCCGGAACCGTTTCTGCGGTTAAGATCGCCTTTAAGAGACGGTTGCGGACCACGGTTTCCGTCTCGGGGCAATTATCGTAACGATGCGATGGGGATTTTCAAAACTCATTTGAACCTGTCGCAAAGTCTACTTTGGATCGATTTTTCCGTGATCGGTTTTTTATATGTTGAACGTCTCGCGTACTAATTGACTTTTTGTTGATTCTCTAATTCGATTAATTCCATTATGTGAAATTTCGAAAGAGTTCGAAAATCCGATATAAAGTAGGCTTTACGGCAAATTCGGGAAATCCCTACCTACGGTTCTATCGTAATAGTTATAGTATGTACAGTGACTCACGCGAAATCGTCGAGGTATTTGTTCAACGACATTTTGAAGTAAGATTCGCCCACTGCGTGCTTCAACATTCTGAATAACGCTGCGCTCTTGTCGATCGTGATCACGTCGAATCCGTCTATGATCTCTTCCGAATTCAGTCGGGGAAGCGTCAGCGGGTGCGTGTCGTCGTATTGATCCCAGGTCAGGGCTCGCTGATGCACGTTTTCGATAAACCGTTCGTGTAAGTTCCATCCGGGTTCGATCTGCAACAATGACGAGACGCATTGTCATTATTATTATTGTTTTGTCTGCAACTCGTAGCCGTTGAACACCCACCGTGTCCGCTAAGTAATAGTTCAAATAGTTGCACATTCCCTCGTTCAACCACGAGAAGTCCCACGTAGGGGTCGTCACCATGTTGCCGAACCACTGGCGCAAAATCGCGTGTAGCACGGTCATGATTCCTGAAATCTTGTCCTCCATTTCTGAATTGTTCGATAAAGTCACGTAGAATTCCCTGGAGATGAGGGAAGGGAGAGAAAAAATGAGAAAAATACATCAACAACGATTAATGATTTTCATGCGGTTATGTTTCCGATAAGCGCAAAAAATTACATGAAATGACGGCGCGATATGAAGAGTCAATGTCAAGACCGTGATATGCTCAACATGATAAATAAATCGGTGAAATACTTACTCGTAAGAATTTAGACCCCAATTTTCCATATTATAGGCATCTAATAAAGGAACGCCCACCAAGTCTAACTTGGGTAACATGTACTGTATTTCAGTGAACTTCTCTACGCTTTCGAGTAATTGCGGCACTTTTTTCATCATATACGCCGTGTTCTCGATGAACTCTTTTCGCGTGTACATGGCAATACTCTCGTCGTTCAATGCGTTTCTATCGAAATCAGATACCATAAACGCTACTAAAAACGTGGGTATTGGTTTTGTAGTTTCGAAGTGATCCCATGCCCAACCGCTCCGTGGACTAGATAAAAATAATAGAATTAAAAACGATTTGAGGGGCTAGTTTTTTTTTTCTTCTAGAAATCAAGAAAGTATCAAAAAAAAAAAAAATATAGTGTTCACCGGAACGGCACAACGATACGCGTGCAGAGAAACATAGAACCTACTTGATTTCAGTAAGGATCAGTGGCATGTTGGACAGTGAGAAATGCTTGATTTGTCTAGCGATCGATATCTTGAACGGAGTTTTGAACTTCAGTTCGTCATAGCAAGGAAAAGCTCTCCTGGCATACACTGGCTTGAACTGAGTCAGAGCTATCCATCTACACGAAAAAAATAACCAAATCAAATACATCGAAACGATTTCCACTGGTGGTGTTACGGTATTATGATAATAGTGAAACGGCAGGACCAAAACATATGAGATTAATCAAGAGATCGAAGTACAAAAACATTGCTGTCGAGTACGACCGTTTGTTTTGCGAACAGGGGAGGGACTAGAATCACTCTTGGGCCAACGCCCTGCAGTACCTCGATCCGTTGGTAGAGTCGTAAAAGTATTTGTGAAATCCTGTGAAGTCGTTGCGCAACGTGCCGGAGAACTGGACGGTGAACCGGTAAAATCGGGTGGGCACCAGGGACCGCGCGAGCGTGACGATCAACTGTTCGCGGAGTGCGTCGCACTCGAAACCCTCCACGGCCACCGCGTGACGTCCTGTGCGGACGTCTTCGAAGCCGGACACCGAGGACACGATCAGGTCCTTGGAGTTGAGCACCACCACGGTCGTGTAGCGCACCGCCGATATGACCACCTCGACGCTGCCGTTGAACGTGTACGTGCCGTTGACGGGATTGATGACGGGCCTCATGCTCAACGCGTACGACACCGGTTCCGTGTGGTCCGGCAAACCGTAATCGATCGGGTCTTGCACGTCCTGCACGTCCTGCGAGCCGAGCGTCAGGGTCGCCGAGAGCCAGCACAACAGCAAGCACGCGACGCATTTCGACCGGTCCGAAACCATGGCCGGCGGTGCGGTTCCGAAATAGCCGCGGGCAGCAGTCGATCGGATCGGGCACTTCGTAACGGATTCGGTGTTCGGCTTCGGCTATCGGAGCATTGGCCGTTGTCGTGGAACAGCGAGAAAAGTTGTCAGTTCCGATTCGACGGTGTGCCCCGACCGATCGCGCGTGTACGTATATATACATCCGATGAAGTGTTTGCACTAGCCCCTCCCTGCCGATCGTGATATGCTTGATGCGCGTAACAACACGTAAATTCGGTCGATCGGTAAGAACGTCATTCGATCCGTACCGACGTAACAATGCAGATAGCAACAGTGAACGACAACAGTAAACACAATACTTGACTGCAGGCACCGTAAGTGTAATGCATGCGGTCTGTTTAGATAAAGAGCACACAATGATCGGTGCGATACAACAGGTGCGCGTACACTTCGAACGGTCTCGCCGTTCGCGCGAAACCGATCTTACCTCGACTTGTCGCGGACGTATGCCGTGCACGACGACGCGTTATTATTCATTCGGTTCGTTTCGTCGCGTCCGAACAAACGTCGAGATCCTAAGACACGCTTTATCGGCTTGACGATTATTATATTTACATTATATTTACTTATTAATATATTTACATATATTTATATTTACTCCAATGCGATATGTAAATTATTCGTGTTCTCTGTTGTATTCGATTGTAATTATTATTATTTATTATCCGTTATTATTACCATTTTTTTTTTTTTTAACTAAACATTTCCTGTACTGCAGTGGCGTTCGAGGACGTATTGATTGAACGAAATTCCAGGAGAACGTACATTGTTGAACACACGCGATTTCGAATTTTAATCGCGTGGGCAGTTCGAATTGTAATCGATAATTATCAACTGTTTCGCTAAATTTTGCACTACGTGAAAAATATAAAAAACATATTTTTTCTGTTCAACAAGGCCCGGCTGGAATGTGTATTTAATTAACATTTGTTTCATGAAAACTATTGTTAGTTTTTATATATATATATATTTTAATTTTAACTCGAGCGCACCGATGTATATCAACTTGTTAAAATTAAAAACGTGTTTTTACACGCGTATTTTTCTAAAAAGTCGAAAAATAAAATAAAACCGTTTTAAACTCTTATTGTGTTTACGTGTTCGTATAATAGTGACCGTAGGAAAACGATATTGACGTCAATTTTATGTGACGGAAGGACATACTATTATTAATTACTTTTTCATTCCAAAAAGGTTAAAAGTGGTCACGAGCTATTATTATTTTTTATTTTATATTAAAATCATACCATTAAATGTACACGTATATTGTAGACAACTATATTCTTTTACACCCACGGTAAATTGCGACCTATACATGACCATAATGCAGGCGTATTCCTTGAACTTTAGTTGTACACAAATCTATTGAATAACATCCACTATATCTTATAGCAATGTTTATACCTTAAAATGAGCAAAATGAAAGTTCAATATGTATTTAAATTCGTATAATATTTTATTTTGTCATGTTAGTTCAAACGCCGCCATCGTGCCTGGTAAAGATTTTCTTCGCGATAACGACTAATAAAACATTCAAAGTACCTATGGCCACAACAATACGATTCTAATTATTGCAATTCATACTGTAAAACGTTTGTTAATTTTTCCTTCAAACGCACGATAAAAATGAAACCGTGGTCCTGTGCATAAAACAATTTAATAATAATACAAATAATAATAATATTTTGTTTGCATTTGTAATTTATAAATATTCATGCACGCACACCTATACCGGCACACGATGTTCGTCAAATGGGCGTTTATGCAGTTTATATATAATTGAAAATGATCCGAATGATTCCTAAGAGCAGGAACAATAGTAGAGGACAATTGCGTCGTGTTTTGTTTTTAATTTTTGTTGTTTTTTTTTTTTCGACCGAGCCGAAACGCAAATAATGAGCAGTACTATGTGAATTGAAGTAAACACACTACGACGTATATCGAATCGCGTGTGCCAAGTCGACCAAGTCTGCAAATATCATCATATCAGCCGAAAATTATTCGAAGGAACGACCCCCGCGTCAGTTATTTAACATGACGTACAACGACTATGACATAATGAAAATGTAATTATAGTACAACGCATTCAGGGCTGACAGGAGTCAAGCCCCGAAACCGAGATATTCTCGAACACGTACCTATATATGCGTTACAACTCGTTTTTAACAAAACATCGTATGGAAATATACGATCAGAACAGTAAAAATAGGTTTTTTTTTAAAATTATTAAACGGTCGATTTTAACTTGGGTGATGAACGTGTAGAAACGATGCGCTGGGCAACGTTATTTCGCCCAAATACGTGGTATAGTGATAACTGACAACATCGAGACGTGGTGAATATTTTATTTCAGCAGTTCTCCCGGGGAATGCCGTGCAATGTAGGACGATAAATGTGTAAACTAATACTGTGTAACTAAAACAATGAACGCCCAAAACGATTTGATACCTGAATCGATACGTGTACAGCGGTGTGCAGTGTCGAGAATTATACAGATAATTTTCTAGATGAAAATACAAATCATCTTTTATTTTATCTGGATAGAAATATAAATTTGTTGCTGTTTATCCATCATAGATGAACACTTCAGTTGTCTACTATGTATTCATGTGGATACGTATTTTTTTATATGTAATAATTCATTAAAGTTCTGAGTGCTTTAGGGACTCGCGATTAAACTCGGATTTAAAATCTTCTTGAAAATAAATACTTTGATCGATGTGGAGAAATTTACTTTTCGTTAATGTTATATTGATAAATTGTAAAATATCGTGACGCACTAAATGACCAAATTGGTAAACTTATTGCCCATTCACCACCAATAACCATTCGCTAGTATTTTTCCAGCACGTTCGGTATTACCACGTAAAGCTTCAACGCTTAAATGGGATTTAGAAATGGACATGTACTATCACATTTTTACCAACATGTTATTTTCATTTTAAACATATAAGACCCTTTAAAATCCAGACCTACTTCAGATGCCTCAAACATATACAAAATGTTTAATTCGTGGTAGGCCAGATTTTTTTTTTTTTTTTTTTTTATATTAATATATCTGATTTTTATCTAGATATAACTTATGTTTTATAAAGATAATTTAGTTGGGCTTATTTTTATGTTTATCTAAATAGATTTTCGGTGTACAATTTTTATGTTCATCTAGATAAAAAAGTGTTTATCCGGACTCAACACTGGTAGTATGGCCTCGCACGAATCGATAGAAGTCCGCGCGCAAAGTAGGGCGTACTCTTAGAAGTGGAGGGTTGTGGAGTAAAAAAATAAATAAATAAATAAATAAATAAATAAAAATTGGTAACTTAGACGCCGATCAAATTGAATAACCAAAGTTGATGGGTACACCTATGAGGAGATACCGGTATTTGAATTTACGACACGAGCAGACAACAATTATCGCGCAGCCAACGGACCAACAGAAAAATGTAAAGTTATTGCGTGATAAAAATCAAGGTTTCACGTAACATACAAAAACGCACCAGCGTAGCGTTTTTTTCGATCGACACCACGGAGAAGCACGATATTTTTTTGTATAATTCATAGTGACGAGACGTTGAGTTTTATTTATTTTTTAAACACCGCGTTCTGCCACGCGAAAATTATTAATCGTTATTGTTCTAGCTTCGTCTTCGCACGTGACATTTGTACATTAATTTTTTTTCCGTTAGAACAAAAAAAAACAAACAACGGTAGTGAGGCCGATCTATAATAATAATTAGGACACAGATTTGAATGAAAATTGTATTTTTTTTCTATATATCCAAAAATATTGCTTTCTGAGCACAAAGTTCATTTCGTGTACCAAGGTATTATAAAAAAGTAATTTTAATTTTTTATTATTTTTTTAAATTTTTTAAGTTGTTTTACTCTTTTTGAGTATATTTATGTATTAAAGTTATTTTTTATATAAGAACGGATAGAATTCGATAAAAATTTAGTTGAAATTCTTATATTAATTTATGTTGAATTCCTATGAAACACAAGGTAAAAGTGTAACGAATCCATCTATCTAAATCGTACAGTAATTTTTTGAAAATAATTGTTCGGGTTAATAATATTAAAGAAGGCGAATGACTAATAAGAATAAAAATGTACAGTAACAAAAAAAAAAAAATGTTTCAATGTTAAAAATAATTTATAGAGCACTTTTTCGGTGCATTTAAAAAAAAAAAAAAAAATGTCTGTTATTGACAGTGCGTTTAAAGGTATTTTTAATTTTTTTTAAGACATTTTACTCGTTCTCCGGAGCAATTAAGTCCGTTTCTCAATCGTAATAACTGCGGGCCGTCCAGGGCAGGAGTTTTGAGCAGCCCCGTGGGCCACGAAACATACGATCGTAATCGGACGGCGAAGGCACTGCTTCGGAAACGATGGCTGTTATCATCATCGTTATTGTTGTTTCGCGCGATCGATAGCCGTACTCATAGAATATAATATTATTACGTCCGACGGCGTAAGAATCGTCGAACGACGTACGGCTACCGCGCGGGTGTCACTGTTGCGCGCGTGTTTATACCCAGATGGCAAAACAATATTTTCATAATATTGTATGAATAATTCTAGGCAAATGTTATTATTATCAGAACATTAATAAACATTAATTAAACCCAATAGGTATTTCTTCTTCTTTGCGTCTTCAGTCGTCTGACTGGTTTGCTGCAGTCCTCCATGTTTTCCTATTATAACTTAATTCCTTTAGTTCCCTGTAGCTATTCTTTCCCATGTCAATCATGATTTGTTTCATATATTCCATAATTGGCCTTCCTCTTCCAATATAACCTTCTATGACATTCTTCGTTAAACTATCATGACGTAGTATGTGCCCTATCATTTTGTCTCTTCTAACCTTAACACTATGCTACAATTGTCGTTTTTCTTTTACTCTAGTTAGTACTGTTTCATTTGCATCCTTTCAGTCCATTAAGTATTTTTTGATAACACTGCATTTCGAAGGCTCAAGTTTGTTTCTTTCTACTTCACTAACCTTCCAAGTTTCACACCCATATAGGGCAATACTTCACACGTATATTTTTAAGATCTGTTTTCTTGTCTGTAAGAACACATAATACATATGGAATAATTATTAGAAATAATTGGAATAATTAAATAATAATTAGTGATCAATAAGTTATTATTAATGTTTTTCATTTTGAAAAGCCTTCTTCGCTTGCGTTATTCTGCAAAGAATGTCAGCTTCGTTGCGGCCATCCTCTGTTATTATACTTCCCAAGTATTTCAATTTTTGTACTTGTTCTATATGTATGTGTGTGTGTGTGTGTTATCTATTGTTTTTTCTAGCTTGGTAGGATTTGTTCTGCTGCACTCTATTATTTTATTTTTATTTAATCTCATTTCATAGCTATCCACGGCTACCGCGCGGCCGGTGTCAGTGTTGCGCGAATTTTTATACGTGTTTATAGGCGGTGCAAACGTGCCACATCGACCTACGCGCGTGTACGAGAATGTTGTGGAAACGGAAAAGGAACAACAAAAAAAAAAAAAAAAGGAAAGAAAGAAATAAACGCAAACATGTGTACGTCGTTGGACACGACGATGGTCTACACGGAACGATTACGGGCAGGCGATATCGGATTACGCGACCGCGGGTGACCTTTTATTTCCGAGCTCGCGCGAAACCACGAAACTTTTCAATGCGATTCGACGTAATGGCTATTTATAAAAGGTGCCGTACCTCCGCGAGCGAACGCGTTTTTTATTCCATCTTGTGCCGCCGTCCGTTGAAACGATTACGGTTACGGTTTCCATTCATCCGCTGCGGTTTACTTGATACTAACGGTAATTGCTAGTGTTATTACTATTAACGTACGCGTCGGACGCGGAAAACGTAAGAAGTTATTGAACAATTTTTTTTTTCTTTAACGAAAAACTTTGTTGATAATTCGTTTATTTCATGTGTATGTACACATTTTTATTCTGTACAAATCGAACGATTCCGTTCGTCAGGAACGTGGGTAGACCAGTGCTATACGTTATAATGTTACGGGTGTACACATTTTCTAAATTACGTTTACGCATTTCCTTCGGCAGTCGAAGATAACTACTTTCCATTTGATATCGGCGATATTTATTGAAGTTTTATTGAAATGATTTTAATATATATATATATATGTATAATTTATTTATTTTGGATTTAAATTATAGAAAAAACAACTGGACAAAAAAAAAAAAATACTGTACATATGCTAATCCAATCGGTGATGAATTTTGTCTTTAGGCGATAATAGTATAAAATAATATGACGTTTTCTTCACTTCAAATTCGTGAAGAATTTTTTGCTTATCTCATCACTTTAAACTCCATACTCCAATCCATACTCGTTATAAACTATTAAGTTACATTGGTTATGGAAGTTAAATACGTTAAAAACTAATGGTAATTACCAGGGTCGGACTGGATATCGAGGGACCCGGGGGTGGTTGGTAAACTGAACCTACTTAACATTTTAATTAATAAATATTTTTAGTTAATTGTGCTCAATTCATTCAAATTCGAATATTCTAATAGTAAATGATTGGTGTTTTACCATTATATTTTAATATTACATTTTATGTACGGGTAAATTAATATGAAACTATCGAAAGCTCAGGAGGCGATCGCCCCTTTGCCTCCCTGACCAGTACGTCACTGGTAATTACTAATGAAGTTATAATCTTTATATATATATATATATAGCTATTAGGATATTATGCTAAATAATGTAATCTCATTTTAATTGGAATGCCTCGTGAGATAATCGCATTTATAAACGAAAATAAATAACAGTTAATAAAAGCACGAAAAGTTATATAACTAAACATAAACTAATTGTTAAATTTAAGTATATGCGTACTTATAATGATTACTTATCATGTTTGCGGAAAATAATACAATGCCTAATCTAAATTTGAACAAAATTATTTTGATATTAAACATAGATTCAATGTATAATTTAATTTAAGCACGTTAAAAAAAATCAAATTATGGTGAAACATATTTTTCTTATGATAGTTAAAAGTTTTTTTCGATTATATTTTTGAACGATAATAACGTATACATGTATAGCTATGAACATTAATAAAGTATAACGTATTTAGTCGTTGTTGATAAAAAATTTAATCAACAACGACACGGTGAGCATTCGTAAAATAGTAGTATAATCATGAAATATCGACGGAGCGCTGGAACTGTCCTTTGAATCATCTTGGGTTTTATCAGCAGGTGTTGTCGTCGAAATATTTGTCGATCCGGGTTTTATGATCTCCCGGATTGCTATAGAATAAAGATCGAACCATTTTAGGTTGTTTTCAATTTCGCCATGATAAATTGCTCTTAATTTATTTTTAATTTCAACTGGCATCGTGGTTGCAGACGCAATTTCTGACATCTGAAATCAAAATTTTTAATCAAAAATCGGAACAAATAGTTTTATTCCAAAAGGTATATGTTTATAACCATCGATATGTTAAGATAAACTTATATTTAAAAAACCACTCTCCAAAGAATAATTATAATAATTAATTGATGTATATAAACATTTTTTTCTCGAATCTCTTTCGAAAGATGTGATTTAATGAGTTAAAATATATTATATATAATAAGTTGATTTCTATTTTATTTCACAAGAAAATATTTTCATCATTAATTATATTAACGATTAAAGCAATGAAAAAAATTATGAATATTATTGAAGAATAAGCACAGAGTAGGCGCTAAGCATATTATTATGAAATATAGTGTAATAATTTAATATAGAATTTAATATGTGTATGATATGTTATAATTAGATTTTGTATAATAGAAAAGTATTTACATTCTGACTTTGGTTTTACTTAATATTGCGCGAACTTATACGTGTCATACCTTAGTGATTTCTTGGTCGGTAGAAACTTTGGAAGACAAAATCGAGTATACCGTGAAAACCATATTTTTGCCGTTCTCTACGTTGTTGATGATGCTAGCGAAATGATTTCGGAGGAAATTAGTCAGTGCAGTCACTCCGGTCGACGTCGAAGAAAGAGCGACGAATAACGCATTGTAATCATGTTTTTCGATCGGACACTTGTTTTCCAATATCATTTCCAAAAGCCTGAAACCCGATAAATACATTAGGTAGGCACGCACGACCTAATGTATTTATCGATCGTAATCCAAACGTGACGATTACACAACACGAGCACGGTTTTCGTGGTGAATCGGACGGGCCATGTGCGGTTCTCGGACAACACAAGTTTCGTCCGTTGAGCATAGCGTTGCAATCGTTACGAAACGAAATAGTAATAACTAGGGCCCGGATTTAAATGCTCTTAAAAACATACAAATATGCTCCAAAAAAATAGCCAAAAATGTCCTTAAAAAATGCATTTTATCACAAAAATGAGATATTATTTTTCATTTTGGCTATTATTTAACACAATATTTAATACAGTAAAATCACAAACATACATAATACGAGAAACGTCCGCAATGTACAAGAACCGACTGATTATTTGTTACTTGACCGAATACTGTTGACGTTCCACAGTCAATAATAATTTAAAATAAGATAAAAACTGAATCGAAAAATAAAGATTGACAATGTGTATGGAAAAGCCCGATAAACCTACTAAAATATCAAGAAAATAATTTGTCTTTTGATTTGATTTTGAATAGGCTAAATTTGTTTAGTAAATTGAACAAATATGCATTAAAAACCAATAAAATGACCCAATAATATTAATAAAAATGTTCTAAAATGAAATAACGTCGAAATATGCAAAAAAAAAAAAAAAATAAAATGCAAAACAAAATGTGTTGCTTTGAAACCCTCGTTACGTGAAACGAATTATGTTCTTAGAAAGCATTGGGTATGATCAACCAAAAAAATAGGCACTTTGTATTAAAATCCGGGCCCTTGTAATAACGGTCGGTCGATCGATGAAAATAACGCGCACTCACGTCGTCAACAATTGGACGTCCTCGGTGCAGGACAACGCGTGGAGCGCGGATTGCCTCTCCGAATGCGTCCTGGTGGTTTTGTACAAGTCCAACATTTTCTCCCATGTCCCGTCTGCCGCGCTTCCACCGCGTCTGATTGCCGTGCAGAACGCCGCGTCCTTGATGTCGGCCGGTATCCTGTGACGACGAAAAAATACACAAGCATCGCGACATAACGACGCGCGACGAGTGCGTGTTATTACGGTTAAGATAACAATCTCGGAGTAAAAAATGATTACTCTTCGCCGTTCAGCCATCTCCGGTAATAGTCCAGCGTCGTCCTCTCACAATCGTCGTTGTTCAGCTTGCACGCCCACGTCGAAAATGCGTTCCAACCGATATTAATGGGGTGCTGAGGACGGTTCTTTTGCTGCGCGACGAGCTTGTCCACCATCCGGAACGCGATGCCGGCCAATCGACTGACGAAGGCCTGTGCGTGATAGCCAACAGAAATCAACAGCAATATCGTTATACGCATCGGGTGATCAGCGTTAGGAGAGCGCACGGTTTAATAGAAATTGTGTTGGAGCCTGCGTAATCGGGGGGAAGTGGGGGTGTCCTATTCCAACGGATACAGCAGTAGATTTAGAAATTTAACCCTCGGAAGCATGTTTGAAAGACGAAAAACTGAAACAGTTCGAATGCGGTTGACCATTTATGTTGGAATTTCGGAAACAATTGCCTGCTATAATATTTCCGAGGGTTAAATTTCGCGCTCAAAAACTAACATCCTCGTGATTCTTTCTGTACGTCGCTCAACCGGAACGGACGACCGTCCAACGGAATAATTGTAAAGGACTGCGTCGACTAAACACGAACCAGACTTACAAAAGTGGGTACAAGAAATCAACATTCAAGTTTGAACATTAAATCGAGTTACATTATATTAATTACTCGTAAGAGTGGAAAAATGTTTACGTGTTTATATATCAATATTAAAAACATAATATAAAATAAAAAACAAAAAACTGATTTTTGATTTAAACTGTTTATTAGTAAATACGATTTGCATCTCAATAAAAACGACGTGTTTCGAAAGTGCAGAGGACTTGTGTATGACTAAATTCGTCGGGTGTGCGTGCAAGGCGTGCGCATTTGAATTTGCATTTAGAAATGTTCTGTTAACTATTTAATGAATTCATATTTATGTGATGCATGTAGATTTTTTTAATGCAGGCATTATGTAAATCGTAAGGTTCGTAAGAAACGTACCGCGTGGAAACGTACGGGGAACATCTATCACACACGTATTGTAACTGCTGTCGGTATCGTTCGCTGGAACCACGGCCGGACTAAGGGGGGTGAAAAACGGGGCATTTGTCCAGGGCCTCGTGCTTACATTTTTCATTGACAAATATATTGTACCGAAATCTCATAAAATAAAACGTGAAACGTTTAGATCACTTGGCGAGTGCGATTTCTAGAGAAATTCATTGGCGTGTAATAAAAAATCAACAAAATATATTTAACATATCATATATTCACCAACAACTATCCGTACGGCATGTCGCACAGTATGGAAACTGGAATATATAGAAAATTGATTTTATCGAATTTCTTAAAGTTATTCTATCGGTCATTACCCGATATCGCATATATTATATGTTGTTGCCTTTAATTGCAGCCTACAGGCTATAGGTGACTATTGTTGTGGGTAAAATAAGTTTTGCCCAGGGCCTCACAAAAGGTAACGTCGGCCTTGGCTGGAACAGCCTATGGTGGGGTAAGAAACGGGAAAAATTTAGTAATGATCAAAACAAGACCAAGACCAAGACTTTCAAAATCTTGTTCTTGGTCTTAGTTTTGGGTATACGCCTTAATCTTAGTCTTGGTCTTACGCAAAACTCTTGCAAGACTCTTGCTATTTTCACAAATTATAGCTGTGTAGGTTTTTTGGGTTTTTGTTATGACTCAAAATGAAAAAAAATTACTTCAGAAAAATAAAAATTTTAAAAAAAAAACTTAAAATGACTTAAATCCAATATTATATAGTATATTAATAATATAAAACAATCAAACAATTTAATTTTTATTATAGATACTCGTTTAAAACTTAGCATTTTAAAATATTATTTTTACATTGTTTTACTTGTATTTGTATTTGATGATTTAATTTACCAGCATAATTCACTTAGTAAGTTCCTATTACTTCTTCTAATTTATTCACACACTCGCTTTGATCCACTACATTTTCAATGTCTAACAAGGTGTATTACCAACAGATTACAAATTTACCACACTAATGAAATTATATGCTGTATAAGACACTAGTTTAATTACACATTGTCTAGTGCGGAAAAATCACACAAGCTACGAACAAAAATAAAAACGTACTTCCAATCAAAATGATATCTACCGTATTCCGTGATGACTTCTAGCAATTATTAGTATATTCGATTCAAAGTAGAGGTGTATTATGGTCATAAGCCATAAATTAGTCTACGAGCAAGACAACTTTCGAAATTTTCATCGATTTTGGGGAAAAAAATAATTTTTCAGTAATTGCTAAGCTTGAAACAACTATATTATGTTATTTTGTAATATTAATTCCAATTATTTCTATTCATTTTTTTAATAATACATCATTTCCTCGAATACTGTACAAATTTAATTACAATAAAAATAATTTCTTATAATGTTCGTTATAAATTATTAGTTAATGAAATCTAGATAACTAATGTGTTTTCGGGGAAAAAAAAAATTTGCAAGACTGTAAGAGTCTTACAGTGATGGTCTTGTTTTGGTTTTGGTCTTGAAGCTTCGGTATTTGTTTAGTCTTGTTTTTGAAAGTTTAATTTTAGTCTTGGTCTTGCTAGACCAGTACCGTATAGGTCTTGGTCTTGGTCTTGCAGCAAGAGTCTTGCGAGACCGCAAGACCAAGATTAATTTTGATCATCACTAGAAAAATTATTGGATTATCGTCCGGGAGCGAATGACGCGCGACCGTAAACGTACGGTTGGACGCGATGATTATCAAAACACGGCCTTGCGGTTTGCGGGACTAAATTATATGGACGCGACCAAGACGTTCCCTTGTTATAAATATGTTAAACGCATTTCAACTACCGTCGTGACAAATAGTAACATTGTGTGCAGTAACGGTAACGCTCGCGATTGCATACATCACATTGCAAGCGGTGTTGAGCCCAGATATTAATATTTTTTGTACTTGCTTGAGGCATCCGAAATATGTCTTGACAGTTTTATTTATACACAATGAAAAAAATGTAGATAAAAATTTGATAATACATTTTTATTTCTAAATCTCACGAATGTCCCGTGGTATGGACGTTCAGTCCATCGTAATGGAAAAAAATAAACGAACTGTCATTGGTAATAGAACTTACCCGTTTAGTGCGTCATGATGTTTTACACTTTATTAGGATATAAAATCAACGAAAGGGAAACAGTATTTTCCAATTTGTTGGTCCCGGAAATCTGCGTAATCAAAGGATTTATTTTCTAAAAGATTTCAATAGTTTTTATCGAGAAACCGTAGGCGAGGACGACGCGTCGCAATGACGGCCGTTATCTGAAAAGCTTTTATTGTTTTTCAGGCTCTTTTTCCAGGCGCCATTGAGCGCTATTTGTGTGGTTGGAGATTACTTTTTACGCTGTTTAAGATCTATGTACATGCGATCATAAAATTCATAAAATCAACAATTAAGGTTGAATAAAACTGAAAATCGGGTGAAATGTACAATTAAAGAAGAAGAATAACTATGGTTTATAGACATATTTGAAAAACTAACAACATAAAATATCAAGAAGAAAATCGTTGTGTGAGAATGAGAAAGTTTCAAGTTAATTGATGTAATTTATTATTACCATTAATTTTTATTTCATTTTCATTTTTTCAACTATTAAAAAGTTAAACAAATCATAAATGCTTATTGAACGCCTGTATTGAAAGTGTTGTGTCTAAATTAATTTAATTATTTACAGATATTATTCAGGTTAATTCAATTAATTAATATTTTTATCAAGTCTCAACACCGATTACGTGTATGTGACGATGGTCTAGAGATGAGCGAATCGAATCATTCGAACGATTCGGTTCGTTTGGATCGGATCGTTCCAAACACCCGTTCATATGATTAATTCATGTCGTTAACTGCTCGTTAATGTTAATGTTCGTTAAAATGAACGAACTAAAAGATACTGACTATAGCATAGAGCCAAATCAAACAAAAATCCATTGGATCTATCATTCTCGTTCGTTTTGTAACACGTACACTGAAACGAATTGAACCGATTTTATTTTGATATTGGAACGATTGAATGTATTTCGTGATTAACCATGACCGAATTACGATTTATAAAATTTTACTACTACTAATGTTAATGCTTACTACGCAACAACGATTTACATGCAACCAAAACGAAATCAACGAATGAACGAATGACTTTTTTAGGTAAGCGTCCATAGGTCGCGTCGTTCGTATCTGACGGATCGTATAAAACGGATCTTAGAATTCTTTGTATAAAGTTGTTCAAGTACGTCCACTGACCCATAACGTAGGGATCGTACGCCCAGCGGTAATACTGACGAAGTTCCTCGAAGGGGCAACTTTTCCGACAGGTGCGAAATTAAATAATTATTTTACTATTAATATCTGATTTTAAATGGAAATTGCTTAGGAAATTCAATTGTTGCACTACTATAAATCGATCCGTTTCCGTACAATCCGATCGATACGTCCGATGTGAACCTTTACATGCTTACTTTTTATGTAGTTTTGTAACCTGGATAGGTTTGTCCACCAATCCGACCAGTCCAGTGGCGTAACTAGATGAAAAAGGCCTCCAGTGTAGTAAATTAACTAGATTCCCAAAATAATATTATCTTTGCATAAAAATTCAAAATATACACATTATATTTTGTTTTCAGACGTGAGTACTTACTACGAAAATAGCGAACAAATAATTAATTAATGTGCAAAGTAAAAAAGAAATTCCATCTCATACGGATTGCATATTAGAATTATCACGCGAATAACTCAATTTATCAACGTTTTCAATTATTTTAAGGAAGTGCAGTCTTAAAATTATCCCAGGATTTTAAGACCCTGTGCATTCTGAAGTCCCGAGACGACACTGCCTCTGTTTACCATACGACAGCCTCGCCACTGGACCCGTCCGTCGACGAACGACACATATCTGTACGACGGTCATTATCACCCCTCTCACCTTGACGTCGGCGTGTCCTCGGTCGCTCCGCCGCATCCGATCCAACACGTAGCTAAAACCGTTCATGACCGGGAACCACGGAACGACGTCACGTTCTTTCTCCAGGTACTCCGTCATAGCCAGCGGCACCCCGTAGTCCAGTCGGCCCGCCCTCGCTAAATTGAGCGAGTCGTCAATCAGCTGCGCTCTGTTGAGTACGTGCACGGCCGCCGGCGAGTTGATTAGCTGCTCGATCAGCGACAGCCAATTTTCTTCTGGATAGTTGACCCTGCAAATAACTGCGCGACGGAAACTTAGTGTCAACACCGGAACTTGCGGCCGACAACACCCGTGCGGGTATTTCGCATGGCTACTGCGGCCCGATCGATCAGTTCGCACCTGTAGACCGCACGTTAAATATATACCATCTGACGTTGTCGGCCACGGGGACGTCCGCGGTCCCGTTGCCAACGGACGGATCCAACCAGACGGACGGCGTCGACAGGGTATCGTCGAAGTCCTCGGTCGCGTTCGTGGTGTAACTCAGAAGAACGAACCACTTGGTGGTATCGTTCGCGTTCGGGCGGTCGACGGAGAAGGGTTCCTAAAAGGTAAGAGAGACAGAATATAGACATTGCGCGTGCGAGGGAAAGAGAAATAACTATAAAAATATTGAACCGCAACGGCGGTACGCGTTACGCATGTTACATGTCTTACTTGGGTCAGGACGAGCGATTCGTCTCGTCTCGTGACGATCACTACAGGATAGCCGGCTCGTTCGGTCCATGTGTTCATGATTTTGTGCATGCTTTTGTCGAGCAAGATGGAACCGGTCGCCTGGTCGGATGGCTCGTTTTCGAACACCACGTTGTTGAACGCGTTCCACAGGTTTTCCGGTTTCACGACGTCGAACCTGTTACCATTCATGAAATATACTGATAATGTTTAATCGAAGCTGTTACGGCACTATTACGCAGATTATCGTTATGGAACACTTCACGCGTGTTTGAGGTGCGAATCGATATTTTTGGATTTTCGTGTTGGAAATCGGATAATCTTACCGATTCGTTGTCAGATACACGTTCACGGCTTTTTTGAACGACTCTTCTCCCACCCAGTCTCTGAGCATTCTTAAAACCGCAGCGCCCTTGTTGCGCGCGATCCCATCGAAAACGTCGTAATCGTCATCTTCGGGGACGCTTAACGGTGCGGACAACGGGTGCTGTTTCGCCGTGCTCTGATCGTATTCCAGAACCGATTGCAGTTGCTCGATCACGAAAAAGTGTTCCAAACGCCAATCAGGTTCCACCTGTGAAAACGCGATCACACGTAATAACCATCGTATCGTTACGATCACGTAATAAACATGTATACAGTAGAGATCGTTTATAATGCCTTTCAAGGGATCGGTAATGGTTGGTCGATGTAACCAAAATTTAAAAAAAAAAAAAATATTAAAAATTGGAAAATCGATAAACGATACACGAAGATAATAATATTACGCGATTAGTTTTTTTTCACCCAGCAGTTACTGATAAATATAGTAAAACGTAAAATAAAAATTATTAGCAATATTATAATATTGTTACATGTTAATTTAAAATCGTTCAACTTTGTAGGTATTTTATTTTATTTCCCCGACTCGAAATCCCAATTACTGTCACCGAAGATTACGAAATAAAAAAATAAAATATCTTTCAAAGTCGAACCATGTGATTTTAAATTAACGTATAACAACGTTATAATATCGCTAATACTTTTTATTTTATGTTTTACTATATTTACAAGTCATAGTTGAGTGATAAAAACAAATCACGTAATATTATTATGTTTGTATATCATGTTTTAATTTTCTGATTTCATTTTTAAAAAACATTTAGGTTACGTCGACCAACACTCATTGAAGATCAATTTTTTTTTTTTTTTGTTATATTGCAAATTAAAATATTTCAGCACGTCGAGTGCTATTACAAGTTTGAGAGTCTTATAATCTAAATATATTTTTAAATTATCATAATAACCGATGCATTTTATTAGTGCATACACCACAGGAACTTTGTCGGAACCATAAATTTAACGTTGTTCAGCCCAGTTTGTCATTATTAGAGCAGAGGACTTGTAGCATTTGCATATTGTTTTTGAGCAGTCACAAAAATAGCAGAGTGCGAAACAAATATGTTTCATGATTCCACAAAGCTAGTTTTGAAATTTTATTGTGCATATAGATGCATATTTTGCGTTTTTTAGTTTTTACGGCATATTTCTTCCATTTTATATTTTTAGATGCATATTTTAAATCATTTATCATTTTATCAATATTTTTTCGTCGACGTTTTTATTTATTTATTTATACAAACAAAATAACGTTGAATTTTAAATGATTTTAAATTTTGATCATAATATTAATATGGTTTTGACTTTTCCCAGACCCATCATGGTTTTACTAAAAACACGTCTCGAGAGTTGTCGATTAGATTGATTGTTTTGGGTTATTAATTTTATTTATAGACAGATGAGATAATATTGCTCAACGGACAAAATATTGATACAGGCCCCGGGGACGCCTGTCGCTGACATTGGACATATTCATATTTCAATAATCGCTATGTTTCTCAACGGTTGACAGTCCAAACACGTTCTATTTACTATATATTATAAAAAATGTCTAAAATAAGTATCCAGATAAGAAAACCCAAAAAATAAACCCAATTAGATAATTTTAACTTGTAAGTTGTTAAATAAAGTTGTAAATAATATGTATTCATTATAATAAGTACCTACAGAAAATTTTTTATTTTTTATTCAAAAAAATTAATTTTAAAATGCATATATTAGAAGCTTATTTTGTATATTTATGTGCATATTTGGTGAATTTTCAGAGCTATAAGTCCTCTGCCCTTGTCATTATCAACGATGTGTTCTGTACACGGTAAACAGTGTAGATTCTATATTGTAGAACAATTAGTTAAACTTCGTTACCTCTGCGGTAGCGAAGTATTCGAAATAAGTGGCAAACCCTTCGTTGAGCCACGTGTAGTCCCACCACTCGGGCGTTACCAGATTGCCGAACCACTGGTGTGCCATCACGCGTTCTGCCGTCATTTTGGCTAACACCACATCTTTGGACTTGGTGTTCTTGTCGACGAAAACCGATTGTTCCCTGCACATTCACACGCGTTAAATTGTGATTGCATTGGCTCGTATGAAATTAACGCTTTTTGAGAGTGGTATTCAAAAGTTTGATAGAAATCATAATGGCCTTGTACAGCCGTTTATTTTAAAAGAAACGCTAAGAGCGAACAATTATCGGACAAAATGTTGAAAATACGTTATTCTATGACGTGTCTACTGTTATGTCGTAGGCTATCGCCTTGGCCAGCGGTTCTTACATCTTGCGGTCCTATGAGTCTGCGACACTTATCTTCCCAGTCGTGCGCAACATAAAAAATACTCACTAGTTATCGTAATAATGTTCTTTCGCTCGTAAGTTACGGGAACCCATGGTTTCGAAAATAAACTTTATCATTAAAATGTATGTACCTCAAAATGATTTAAGAACCACTGGATATTGGATTTTTTGACCATACCACAGTATACGGCGTTTACTCTGTGCAAGTCGCGTTCAATATGTACACAGTATAAACGTTTTGACCTTTAAAAAAGAGATTTTCAAAAAAAATCCCTTCTCGTTGTTTTTCTAGATTATTAGAGCAACCACTGCATCAAATTTTTAGTATATTGAATACGTAAACTGCACTTATATTTCTGGCAAATAAAGATTTTTTATCGCGCGTTATTTTACCTGTAAGCGCTTAATCCCCAGCCCTCCATAGCACTGGTACTCAGTCTCGGTATGGCCAGCAAGTCCAACTTGGGCAGACTGTACGTGACATTGATGTATGTTTCCAAGGTATTCAGCAGATCAGGCGCGGCTCTGGTTATGTATTCGATCTGATACAAGTTTCCCAAGTGCGAGTACACGTTGGTCACGTCCTGGCAGTCAGTGCACGCGAGCCGTTCGAAATCGCCGACGAAGAACGCCACTGAGCTCGTAGAAATGGGCGGCGTTTGCATGAAGTGCACCCAAGTCCAGTTCTGGTACACTAATGAATCACCCGCGGCCTTCTCGACCCTGAATATGATTGTAAACGCGACTTACTAAATGTCTTGCGCTCGCTGTGGTATGTTAATACTTTGTGTTTTATTGCTTTTATTACCTATGTTTATTGTTAAAGATATGAAATATATCAGATATAACGAAATTTTGTTATCTCCTTTTTACGGTATTTTCCGAGTTCCAGTATAAGTAGTAGGTTATAGATATTGGGGAATCCAAATTTAAGCATTTTCAAATAATTTATTAACATTAAATCCATTAAAATAAAAACTGTCGATTTTATTTATTAATTAATTACTTTTCTTTTATTTAGTTAACCTCATTTTATTTATTATTTTATTATTAATTTTTTTATGCATTGTTATAGAACTGTTAATAGTACATGTACATTCTATATTTATTAGAAATAATACAGTGAAATTAGTAAATTTTTACAACGTTGCATACAATTTCATACGCAATCGTGTTCTACCTATTTCTTGAAAACCGACAGGGAAAGTTTAATGAGGTTGGTCAAAAAGAACACAGATGTATGTTGACAAGTGGGAGATAGAAAGGTATAGGAATGAAAAATTGGAGCGGCAATGTTCAGGATCGGTAAAAGTGGCGTGAGCTGTGTCGATGGCAAACATTATTGTTTAAGTAGTGTGAAACCAGTAGAATAAGGAGAAAAATATGATCTGTATAATATGTTACACTATGATTTTTTTAATATGTTCAAAAAGTTATCACTCACATATTAATATTTCTATTCACCGTTACAATCATTATTATATAACAATAATATAGTAATACTTACACATCAACAGTGTTTAAAATTGGCATGTTTGATAGAGCGATTTCATTTGTTTTTCTTCTTATCGATATTTTGAAGTACGTCTTATAAGCGGGTTCATCGTAGCAAGGAAATGCACTTCTAGCATGTGTAGCATAAAATTGAGTAGCAGCGAACCACCTGTTCATATATTTTAATTATATTATTAAAAATAATTCTAAAGACATGAATTGAGCTTTGATTTTAAAATAATTATTTTATAACCATCGAAAATGTGAAATATTAGTAATTACAACGTTTTCAATGGTTTGGGTTGAATATTATATTTTATTTTTTAAATACGCTTCTATTTAAGTAAAAAAAATATCTTCCGTATAAATTATCATAAGTGATATGCGTTAATTCTACATTGTTACTGAAGTTTAAATAGTGTCGAGCAGTGCACCTATTTATTATGATTGTTCGTATAAGCTGCAAATAAAAATAAACCAATTTCTTAATTAACACATTTATCATTGAAAAAATCGTACATTTGTACTTCAAGGTATTTATTTACTTGTCTTTGAGATATACTCGTATTTGATTTTTATTCTTACTACAATAATTGATCATAATAATAAGTCATAATTGATATCTAATTTCGATAGAAATAAATAGATGTTTTCGACACTTGTGAATAAAGTGTTTTCTTGTTTTATTAAATAAAGAGAGTTACACTTCTCTCAGTTATCTTTTTATTTTTTATTTTACTTTGTGATTATTCACTTTGAGCTGTTACTAAATTACGTCACAGACGTCTCGCGCACTAATGCGACGTGTTGATTCCTAAACTCTTGAAGGTTTCAAAGATATTCTTATTTTTGCATACGAGTTTTGTATCGTCTACGAAGTACCTGAATTTAATTTTAGCATAACTCTGGTTATAACTTTCGACGCGATATCGTTGTAAAAGCAAAGCCGGATTAAAGGGGGGGGGGGGTCTAGCTGAGGTGATAGCCCCGGGGATCTCTTGAGTACCCAAGTGAAAGAGGCCCAAACAGTTTTAAGTCGTTATACATTTTTTATCATACTAAAATTAGTGGTTTTATAGATATAAATTGTATATACCCATTAATTTTATAATTTTATAATGCAATTGACAATTTGTGAAATAGTTAAAAAAACATGTATTGGTTTGCGAGCGTAACGAGCAGCTTTGTAAACCATGTTTTGTCAAAATAACTCATATAAAATGTCAGCCCCGGGGCTCAATAAATGCTTAATCCGGCTTTACGTACAAGCGATTAATGTTTTTTTCCCCTATCGGCGGTCGAAGACCAATCAAAAACTAATAACAAATCATTTTTGGCCATCATCGGTTCGAATAAAGATAAACGCAATCCAATAAGAACGGTCTACGTGTACGCGCGCGTTACGTCAGAACATATTTTAAGTGATTTTCACCAGATGGCACTTGAATAAAATTGTCTACCATCGTAGTTCATAGATAGACGTGGTATTCTTCTATAGAGGGGAAAATCAACTCCAATCACTACGGTCGTTATGAGAATGTGTTGGTTAGTGGCACGATCACCCGTCACTGTGGAGGGGGGGGGGGAACTAGCGCCACGTAATTTGTTTGTTAAAATATGCTCTGCGTTACGTGGTAAAATACGAAAATCAAAGAAAAAAAAAACACAAACGATATTCAAAATTATTCACATTTACTTTTTCGTGTTCGACCGGGTAGCGTCGTAATAGCTTTTGAAGAATCCGGTCGCACCGTCGCTCAAACTTCCCTCGAACCGCAGGCGCATCGTGTACTTGCGGTCGGCCAACACGTGTTCGCCGACGGACACGGTCAACCGTTCGCCGGCGCGGTCGTACGTCCAACCGTCCACCCGCAAGCGCCTGTTGGTCATCACGTCCGTGACGTCGACCTGGTGCACGACCAGGCGCTTGGAGTGGAGCGTGATCGAGGGCGTGGTCTTCTTGGCCACGATCGCGATGTTCACCAGACCGGCGAACGACGCGTTTTCCGCCGACATGTCGGGCGCCACACTCAGCTCGTACGATTCCGGTACCGTGTCGCCCGGCAGTGGCGCGTGCCATCCCCGGGCCAGGGCGACGGTCGCGACGGACCACCACAGCACGGTGTCGACGGCGAGCATGACGCGTACGCGATCCCAACGATAGAAACGACGATGAAAACGATAACGCCACTGTGGATAACGCGCCGTTGTTGCTCGGCGTGCCGATGCAAAAACACTGTACCGACAACACTCGTCTCGTGTTCGTACGACGACGAAATTCACTTATCTTATCGAGAGCAACACCTGCGAAGTCACCGCGCCCGTTTGTGCGTACGAACGCAACGAACGTAGCCGAAACGGAAGACGTTTTTTGTGACGCAAACAATTTGCAACGATTTGTTGGAAGGGGAGCGGGAAGTCGAAACATAGAACTTCGTACGTGACGATAAAACGACATTTCGCGTAGTGACCAGCGAAATCGGTCTGGGTGTTGCTGGAAGACCAAGATCAAAACCAAGCCCACACTGCAAAAGCCTTCCGATTTCTATTGTAATTGATTTTTTAAAAAAATTCCCAAATATAACACATTTAGCGTAGCTTAAACGAAATAGTTTATTACGCATGATAAAAATGTAATATTATATTTGACGCGACGTCCGGGGAGATAACGAGTTTTTAGGAATTTTTAGAGGTGCGTGGTTTGTGAACGAGTTGATTCAAAGAGTCGATCTTTTAGATGATTCATAATAATTCAACGACTCAACAACTCAGTGTTGCCCCGTAGTCCTTATCAGTTCCCGATTTAATGTTATCATTTTGTCAGCTCACTGTCAATTAAATTATATAGTTCGTTGAATTGGTGATTTGTTATTCACTAAAATGAAACATACAGTTGATAAGAACTTATTGAATCAAATCATAGGAGTAAACTGAGTTAAGTGAATTGAATCATTAAATCGAGTCAAAATGCCTACTCTAAAATTACTGAGTAATTTATACTTAATTTAGTAAGTATACGTGCGAATCAGGACCGACTCTTTTTGTTCAATTCGGATTAATCCTGTGAGCCAGTTTTTAGACGCATTCGAAATCTAACACAGGGGGCCGGCGAGCCAATACCAAGAACACGACCGAGCTATAGAACGTGCACGACACGAAGGATAGGACTGCACTGCGGTGTAAAAAAAAAAAAATTGTTGTTCGCGGAGTTTAGGAATAAACGTGCAATGTTTGATCGAGTAACGTTTATCGGTAAACTCGAGAGCTAGTTGCCCTTCCCTAGCTTAGACAATCACGAATCGCTGGAGACGTTTGGAATATTTAATATCACGTGAACACCGACGTGGATGTCGACGAGTCTTGTCTGCACACGGTTCACGGGATTCAGATCCGCGGCATGCCGTTCTCATGTTAAAATATTAAGCGTTGTGGTACAAAAATTATTTAAACTGAAGTAAACAAAAAGTATGATATTGTGATTCATTAAACAGCAATGCTTACCTATCAATTTCATTGCATATTTTTTAAAAGTAAAATAAAAAATTAAGCTTCGTAAATATAGATAATTATTTCTTAGATACTCATGAATATAATTTCGAAATTAGATTAACTAAATTTTAAAATTTAAATCGACCCTTTTCACCGCCGTATTTTCATTTGGAGACACTGTGCGGCATCCATGTGCAACGCAAGAGACGATGAAGCACGCGATCGTCCCACAGCTACATGCCGTCGCGACCCCATGTAGCGTACCCGCACCGCTTCATCGGTACCGGTTATTTATTTTTTCCGCGATCGATTACGATGCGTTTCCACGCTTTGTTCGACCTCGACGTCGCCGCAACACTATTGTTGACACGATATTATAACGGACGGGGATCGGGGCACTGTTAAACGATAAATATATTAGCGAAAAGTACGTGGGAATTGAAATGAACGACGGTAAAATGTTGCCGTATTTACGCACCAAAATGCCAACGGTTCGTTGTGATACTCGAGCATACAGAGTGTTGATATTATGGAACACGCACCGCCGAACGGGTGGTAAAATAAAATTAAGGACGATTTCGGACGGGCAAAGGTTTACTGCTTCGTCGGCTTGAGCGCGTCGAATACAATACGTACGGTTGATATAAACGGTACGGAGTCCGTTTCAGAGATGTTCCAGGTACCCGATAGCCGAGAATTCGACGTCATAACTTGGACTCAGTATTTACCCGGTACCCGGTGTAACACTGAATTTTAACCCGACTTTAACCCAGTACCTGAGGTAATATTGAAATTCTTACTCGGCCAATAATCATTACCCGATTTCAGAGGCGGACTGGGGAACAATCGGCCCAGGGAGAATAGTCAAAGTAACCAGCCCTAATCTTGTTTATTCATACAATAAACGTATAAATGTAATTTTATACTTATAAAGTTACATAAACTCAACTAATAATAAAAATAACAAATAATTACATTTAAAAATAATTTATTAATTAATTTTTATTTAACATTAATATTTATTTTTAACATAAAATATTTTTCATCAATGTAGAACTTTCTTTAAATTCGAACCCAAAATCATTAGTAATATTTTTTGTACTTTTTTTTGCACATTTTTAGTTTTATTGATATTTTCTATAAATTCCAAACTAATCTTTTGCCCCAATTTTCGTCTACACCATCGTTTTCAGCGTTAAAAAATACATAAGTTTGCAAAAGAAAAAATCCGGAATTTTGGGTGCCCGATAAAGTAAAAATATACCGTACTATGTATTATTCATTATTATTTACCTTTACTGGCGTTGTAGTTAAAGAAGACTCAACTGACAACTTTTGGGCTTCAAAATACAATTTTTTTTGTTTTGGATGATTTCCAATTATTTTGAGTTCTGCTGCACGTTTTACTTTAATTTTTCGGCATCACTTTTCACTTTTTCAATATTAATATATTTATATAATAAATAATTATTTACATTAGATAGAGTAAAAAAGTCAAAAATTAAAAAGAGTTCACAGTTCACACTTGAAAAATTGTACAAACATACAATAATGAACAAATGAGTGATGACATAATAAGGCTACACACCACAACACGCGCGTCGGTTAAACGCGCATATTTATAATTATTAGGGATGTGTAGTTCATGAGCTAGTCGACTCAAGGAGTCGACTCTTAAAAATGAACTGGACGAGTCGAATCAGTGTTACAACAGTAGGTGACAGTGGTCTACACAGGAAAGGGCTCCGTTGCAGTAAATAAACTAGGCCCCCTAACTAATATTATTTTTACATGCAAAATCAAGGTGTACACATCATATAATGACTATAATATTGTTTTATTTGTTTTTTTTTTTTTTTTTTTTAATACGAATACTTATTTATTACAAAACGACAAATAAAATTAATTAACAGTCGTGCAAAATTCAGTTTATTAGGTATTTAAAAAAACAAAAGCATATTGCGTGAATTATTATTCTACTTCAATACTGATTGTTACTGGAACCACCACGTATGATTTGAAAATATATTATTAAACACCATGACACATTGTCAATTATTTTAGGGAAGTATATATTCAGAAATGTCCAAGGCGCCTCGGGGCACTGCCCCGCTTTGCCCTATGATAGCTACGCCACTGATTGGCGACTCAGTTAAACTTATAACTCACAAATGTACTACTGTAGATACACGATTCTCGACTCTCAATTCTCGACAACGGTTTGCGAATCCAAACGCAAAATGTAATATCAACTTAAACAATAGTTCCCCTCGGATTTGGTTATTAACAGGTCTCGGAAGTTCTAGTAAATGCATATTTTTTTTGGTTCATCCTAAAACGTCCAAAGCAAGATACAAATATATTTCAAACTATTTGGATATCATACACAAAATTTAATTTTGCCATTTTTGGCATATTTACGGGTTTTATTGCTATTTTGCTAATTTAGGGTTTATAGTGCTATTTCTGGGTATATTTTCACATAATACAGGAAACAATCACATTTTGCTGATAATAATGATTTAATTAGTTATAGTTTTAAAAATATTTGAATTATTGGAAATAAATAGACATCATCAATTATTATTTTATTTTTTCATCAACAATTTAATGTACTAATAGTTAGTGACTAAATACAATAATTTAATTATAAGTAAAATTTTACAAATATATTTAATTAATTTAACATTTTTGTTAAGTTTATAATTCAATCAGTCCGAACGTCTTACATGCGCAAATATTTGTAAAATTACATTTAATTTTTTTTTATAATAAATTTATAATTTTTTTAACATAAATGCATATTTTTTGATTTTTCTTGCTATTTATAGCGCATATTTTAGAGTTTTTAAGTGCATATTTAATTAAATGCATATATCATTAAACAAAACATAACGCAAAACGGTATATATTGTATTCCATTAAACGAAATAATTAATTTCCAATTATTTAATAATACTTAGTAGTATTCAATTATTTATTCAATCTAAGAATTAATTTTATACCGTATCCGGCCTATCCGGGAGATCACGTATTAGATATTATTTTAAAATTTAATAAGAATGTGTTAATAGAATAATTTAATTACCAATAGCTAATAATAGTGATACTCTGATAATATTGTACTGTACTATCAGATAGTATAGATTCTATACTACGGTCGAAATTTACACTATTCAAGTTATTCAACTATTGTGTTCGGTGTTCAGTTTGTTCAGATTTGTTCAATCGTCACTCGTCAGTGTTTGTCTAATTGTTGTTAGATGTTTAATATTTATATTTTATACTAATATACTTATAGTTTTAACGTGCATACGTTTTTTTATATTAGTTAATTCATAGTTGAAATTCAAAATTTCAAAATAATAATCATGGTTTTTTTTTTATATTTATTATTTTATTATAATGTCCTTAGAGCCTAGACAATTTATTAAATTTAATAATACATTATTATTTATTACTCTTAAGATTAATTATTATCATACTGTTTTATCATTTATTTTGTTTCCATTTCTTTACGAACTACCTATGTATTGTAATTTAATCTGTATCACTGTACCCTATATTTTGTAAATAATATGTAATTGGGTTATCTAACCCATTTAATTAAATAAATAAAATAAAATAAATAAAATTATATAATACCTTCTTAAAACTCAGAATAAAGAAATTATGTCCCCAAAAAAAGGTCATGGTCACTTTTAAATCGTGGCCTGTATACTTTTAAAACAGGTATCTAAATGAATTTGAATTTTAAATAACGA